CGACGGAGGCATGATGCCTCAACGACATACCTCCTGTAGGCTTTAACCGAGAGTTGCTTCATTAAGCCCTTAGGCACTAGAACCCATGGGCATCATCGACTCACTTCTGCAACCCTATGTCCTCCGAGTACACCCAAGTGAAGGATGGTCACAACATGCCCTCCATGGTCATGAGTTGTAACCCAATCAAGGGGAATCAGACTTTGTGATGAGTAGCTCGGTTCCTGACATAGATGTGGGGGTGTACTTCTGGGGCTCAAGCTGGGACTAGCAACCCAGTCCGGTAGGTGCCTCTTAGAGCTCAGACAAAATTCATGGTATGCCCTACAACGGGTCACTAGCCAAAATCCCACCTGTTGGGAGTCATCAGATATCAATGAGCTTTACACACAATAGCTCAAAAACCACCATGACATCTTCATCTGAAAGGAGAAGCACTTCTAGGCTCTCACGTTTTATTTTCTTGCGTGTTTTTCTTTTTTGTAGGACCTCAAGAAGGCTCGCACACCTTCCCCGGTAGGAAGGAGATGCGAAACTCAGTCTACAAAACGAGGGAAACAACGTTGATCTACTTCTACTCGGATTGGGCCTAGGACGAATAGCCCTCGGGGGCCCCATGGACTCGGGAAGGAGGGACTCAGTCCATTAGGCGAATGGTGTAACTCCAACTCTGTCAGAGATATAAGGTAGGCGGGGATTCTAGAAGTACCCTACAACTAGGTTTTCCCAGACCTGCCACCTCAACCAACCTCTCCGTCCCATATTGAGAGCTTGTAGCCCAAGTAACACATCTATCCGGAGGTCTCCCTGACCTCCGATGGACACTAGAAAAATACAAACACTGGAGCTCATCCATGGCTACACCTGGACGTCATACCGCTTGTCCTCCTCCGTCGGTTCTCACCTCTCGTCCATCTGCCGCGTAGGTACCGTCCGCCCCTAAGCGGTCACCACGTTGGGCAATTTTTTTGGTGAAATGCATGTGGTAAAATTTATGTCCCTTCTTTGAAGCAATGTATTCGGACATGAAGTACATATACAAGCACTACATTTAGTCGTCCTACGAGGAGGACTATGCGAATGAAATGACAATGATGCATGCGGTCCTTGTGGCCATGGAGCATGCAGAAGAGCATGTTCTCAATTTCAAGGGATCAATCAAGGGTCATTGAGTGCTGAATAGTAACAGGGCATGAGTGACGAGGTTATTCCCACAGAGTGGGCTCATTCGGTTGGATGGATGATTACCAAGGAGAC